GTTTGACCTACACGGGTGAGTTTGTCTGTTTGTGTGTGTGTGTGTGAGGGTGGATATGAATGTATGTGTGTGTGTGTGGCAGAGGCCATTAACCTACAGAACAAGGACGTAGTTGTTCAGCTCTACGAGGTCATACGCTGCATCAAAATGTTTGACCTACACGGGTGGGTGGATATCTGTGTGTGTGTTTGTGTGTGTGTGTGTATGTGTGTGTTTGTAAATGAGTGTTACCTTTGTGTTTACATGTGTGTAAAATTCTTTCTAAAACGAATCCTTTGAATAGTCATATTCATCCCTTCTCTTTCCTCGTGCAGGTGCAAAAAGCTGCTAGGTTCTATGCAGGAGGACTATCGGGCGCGCTGGGCCTACATCTCTTACCTGGTACGCTGCCGACAGGGGCTCCTGGCCACACGCAACACACTACAGCGTCTGCTCAGCCGGGTCAACCGGTGCGTTACACGTGTTGTTGTGTTGTTGATATGTGTACCGAAAAAGGGAATGTGGGTGGTTGATGGGTGCTCTGGTGTGGTCTTCTCCTTCTTTCTTATCAGACATCTATGGTCATGATCTCTCATCCTTTTTTATGTTCGTTACTCTCTTATAACACCTCTAATATTTAGAACTTATATGACCATATTGTGTTGCTAGTGCTGTAAAACTGATACTTAAACTAAATAAGGAAATCATGTGTTGTTGATGTGTTTTAGAAATGCAGAAATATTATGGTCATGTGGTCACCAAATACGGAGATGTTTTGTTGGTGTGTTCTAGAAATATAAAAATGTTGGTAATGTGTCTTAGAAATATAGAAATTGTATGCGTTTTTGATGTGTTTTAGAAATTCAGAAATGTGTATGTCTATGTGACTTTTGAAATAAAAATATGGTGTTGGTATGTGTTTTGGAAGTACAGAAGCGTGTTATCGATGCGTTCAGCAAATACAAACATGTGTCGCTGATGTGTTCTAAAAATACAGAAATGGTTGTGTTATGTTGAAGGGATGTCTTCTTGTGTTACTGTTAGTCGATGTGTCTTCGTAGGGGCATGGTTGTTGACTTTTTCTACTGTGATGATCTGGTGACCTTTTCATCTTTGGTGACTTATATTCTCTTGTGGATAATCTCCTTTGGTAAATTTTCTACTCCTGTGGGGATCTTTGGTGACCGTATTTCCTATTGTGTCTTTTTCTCCTCTGGTGATCTCCTGTGGAAACTGTTTCTTCAATGATGATCTGTGGTAATGTTTTTTTCCTGTGGGTGGGTGGTTGACGGGTGCTCTGGTGTGGTTTGCTTCTTCTTTCCTATCAAACATCTATCGTCCTGATCTCTCCGCCTTCTTTTTTTGTGTTTGTTACTTTCTTGTAACACTTCTAATCTTCTGGCGCTCGTATGACCGTATGCCGTTGCGAGCGCTGAAAAACCTCAACAAACATTTTTTTAAATCTTCTATGGTGACTATTTCACCTGCAGTGACTTTTTATCCTGTGATGCTGTTCTGAGATCACTTTTTCTCCTATGATGACCTGTGGTGGGGGTTGACTTTTTCTCCTGTGATCACTTTTACTCCTATGTAACCTCATCTCCTGCTGTGACCTGGTCCCGTGTTGCCCTATTTCAGAGACAAGGAGATCTGTAGCCGACATTTGACCAACATTTGTGCCCGTCGTTTCCTGGAGCGGAGAGAGAAGAGGATGTACCGATTCATCGCAGACTTCCAGAAGCTCTCCATGTCTGACGAGAAAGTGAGAAACCCTGGTGGTTGACGGGTGCTCTAGTGTGGTCTGCTCCTTCTTTCCTATCAAACGTCTATGCGTGGGTGGTTGGCGGGTGCTCTGATGTGGTCTGCTCCTTCTTTCCTATCAAACTGAACATCTATGCGTGGATGGTTGGCGGGTGCTCTAGTGTGGTCTGCTCCTTCTTACGTATCAAACATCTATCGTTTTTGTCTTTCCTCCTTATAACACCTCTAGTCTTCGGCACTTATGTGACCTAATTGTGTTACAAGTGCTGTAAAACTCTTACTAAAATGAAACAAGAACCAGGGCCGTCTGCTCTGTAGACCAGCATGATGCCAACTGAGCTAACTGAGCCCCCTGCT